CGGTACATAGGTAATAGGTATATAATATAATATATATTATACAAGTGAGGTACATATATGTAATGATAATTACTCGGGCCGCAACTAACCTATACCTAAAATATTATCGGGCCGGAATTCACCGGTCTCCAACACCGGAAACCAAAGGTTGGGCCGCAACTCRCCCTCAGCCCAACAGTTAAATAGTATAGCTTATATAGGTATAACTACATTTTTTTTTCTTATGAACATTACCAGATTATTCATTTAAATATATATTATTTTTTACCTTAATTTGTTTAAAATTTTAAATAATCTTATACATATTTTAAAAATCGTAACAACTTACAGTCATTTTTTACATTTTCATTAAATATTTCACTATTTTTATGTAATTTTAACATTTTTTTTCAATGATTTTTAAGTCATCACGTTCCGAACCGTAGCGCAGTTACAATATTAGAACCGGGGAAAAAAAGTTGAACTTTTTAAATGTTTAAAAATATGTATAATATTACGATGATGGTTATAACATATGTTTWGAATTTATATAAAAAATTAAAACAATATCATTTGTACGAAGGCTTATCATCGCAAACCATTATACGCCAGTTGTCAAACCCGAAACGACTTGACACCATAAATATTTGTTGTCCACACACAAATTATACTGCTCTCGTCTACGTCAGTAACCTATAATAGGAACATGATATGTACCATTAATAATAATATGATAACGCGACGTTTACTAAATTATATAGTATACGATAATAATAATATAGCCAATATAGCACAAAATTATGTGCATCGGCGTCGATGGACGTGAGCATAATTGACCGCCGGCATGGTCACGGCCCAGCTTCGTATCTTCGTTAAATGTGCGGCGAAAATTTTCCAATCGGAAAAAAAATCGACCAGCCATTGTTTGCGCTCCGTTTGGCTGCGGTCCATTAGAACTGCAGTCTTATATATTATGTATATTATAATATTATGTCAAAGCGGTGGTTTTGGAACGCAAATATACGTCCATATAAAATATACCACGGCCATAGTATTATACCTACACACGGTGTGAGCCATATAMACAGTGATCCATTTCGTGCACAATAATTTTCACTGTTGTGATTTTTTTTTTTTTTAAAACGTTCATATTTTATACTAGAGGCGCCACCAGTATGGCACCTTAAAGATACGAAGTATAGTGAAGTACATATTATAAATTATGATGACAAGTTTATACCATGGTATATTATAGTAAAACAATTCAATAATTCTTTTTTTATAATCACGGTTTAAAGCTTATATAYAGCTGCGAGCGGAATACGCATCGCAGATCGTATGTGTTCGATATGCTCATCGCCTACCTATCATGAATATCTCCGATAAGGCGTAGATAATAGATATTCGCACTATAGTAACTAGTCTACAGTAGTAATACGAACGGCGCGGCGTAGCGAACATATCGCACTCTCTGCGCAACATAATATTATATGTAAATATGTAATATTTATTAATTMAAGATTCTAAGTGAACCAGTACCTACCTATATACTAAAAATTTAAARTCGTTCTTTGATTCAAATCATTGTTTTCATTGCACGTAATGGACTCACATGGTCATTTCATTGTGAATACCTAGGTATTTTAAAATTTAGCCGCAATTAAAATTAAAAATGTATCAAATTTATATACGTAATTCAATACGTTGCCCAAGCAAAATAATACTTTTAACAGTATAAAACAACCAAAAACTACGACGAAAACATTTTTTTTTAGCTCCGTTATAAAAGTGCTTTCATATATTATAAAAAATATTTAAACATTTTTTTCTTYATTGAATGAGAAAAATTAGTATAGAAGGTAAGTTACGAATCATTATCACACGCTGTATTTGCCCGACTTACGCGCGAAGCACAATGGGCACTGTTTTGAAAGAGGAAAAAGTAATGATATAATAATAATATTATTATAAGCAACTCGATATGAGTTTTTTTTATAATCATAAATTATTGTTGTTTTCCTTTTTTTCTTCCTTTGTTAATACAATTTTGGCACCTACTCTAATTTTCACGTACCTCTATACTGATACAATGGTACTCATCATTGGCGCCACAGAACAATGACGTCACAATAACGTAAGCATAAAATATATTATAAGAAACACTGCGAATAGTTCTCTGTTATTTTCACGTGGACAATTATCATTGATCGCAGTTGTTATATATGAATATTGAATATTGTTGATATAAAATAAATTTATGCTGCAGTGGTTCACGATGAACTTTTTTTATTTCCGACATCCTCTGACTTCTCGCTTTTTTAATATTCATCTCAATAAAATACTGGATCGATCGTGTCCATGATAAATGTATGTTTCTCATGAAGATTTTTCATGGTTTGAATGTTTGAATACTAATTGGATACATCTTATCATAAACACAAAAACTCTCAACAACGAAAACTGTGGCTTTTTACGTAAAACAACCGGCTTCAAATCACAAAAATAATTTCATCAATTGGGAAAAACAAAGAGGGTGGTAAAAATCAAGTTTCGAATTTTTAAATTTAAACTCTAAATTATATTATATTTTTACATTGCGTAGGTATATTCAATTTGAAGGGAAATTGTATTTTTCCTGCCATATTGACCTGTAGTTAAGGTTTGAATATAAGTATAG